CATAACCAATGAAGCACCCAAGTCATCTCCAAAAGCAAGAAACCCCTCCGTATCTCCAAATTCAGACTCATCTATATGATTTGCTTGTCTACGATAATTGGCTATATTTGTCAACGAAATCAGCATAAAAAACAGAAGTTCGCCTTTTGTGTATTTCGGATTTCGCCTGTAAGTAATGTTGGTATTTTTTCACACAAAAAAAAAAAAATATTACAAAATATTATAAGTCAAATTGAAAAAGTAGCATGCGATAAAAAATATGAAAAAAAATAAAAAATGTCACAAAATACTACAAAATCTATATTTACATTGTTATTGGTATATTTTTCTGCGATTTTTTCAGATTTTATACTTTTATATCAAGAGGGCATTCTGAATTGACAAATTTAGTCAAAATCGGTTCGGCCATTCTTGAGATATAAGCATTCTAGCTAACATCCCCCTCCTTTGTATATAAACATTGTGTGTATTTCGCTATATATAACCGATATATTTACTATCGTTCGTTCGTCTATTTGTGATTTTTCTGGGAGTAAAAATATTCGCGGTTAAATGGAAAATTTGACTTTTATTTAACACAAATGTTATGGTCTATTTCACCCACTAAATATTTCCCGATGAACATCAAAATTGGAAGACTTCTTCCCATCCCTAAGCTCTAGACCCATGCTAACCTCCGCGTCGATTGGCGACCTGTAGAGCAACTGCAAAATCAGGAAATTTTTCAGTTTTGGGTCCATTTCAACCCCTAAATACTATGAGACCATCTCCAAAAGCAATAGGGTTCTATTCTGACCCTAGTCCCACCTCCATTCTAAATTTCGTGAAGATCGGGCCATAATTGCGACCTGTAGAGTAATTACAAATTAACATGGACAGACGGACGGACGGACGGACATACATAGCTAGATCGACTCAGCTCGGCGAGATAGGAAGATCCATATATACTTTCCTATGTGGGAAACCAATATTTCAAAGTGTTACATAATCAGATTTTTTGAAAGACTTCCTAGCCAAGAATCGAATGATTTTATATTAACAAATTCTTCAGGATCTTTCTCGAATTTTTTAAACTACAGCACATAGTGGCAAGGGTATTATATATTTGTGCATTATTTTGTAACACGGAGAAGGAAGCGGATAGAACCATAGTTTCTTTTGAGGATCTTCATAGAATCACTTTCTGATTCGATTTATGCATGTCAGTCCGTGTATTTTTGTGAGCAAAATGCAGGTCGCATTTATTAACCGATTGAGATGAAATTTTCCAAACAATATTTGTTTTGTTCAAGGACCCTATTGAACTTCTTGAGAATCGGATCAAATTTAGATGAAGCTCCCGATTTCGGGTTTATTGTGCACCAAATGGCTAATATCAATCCACATGACCTGAATTTTAGCACATCCGACTCAATTCATCTTAGAAACAAGTACTCTGTCAAAATTTCATCGAAACCGGATCACATTTGGATGTAGCTCCCATACAGGGTGAGATGAAAAACTGCATCAAACTTCAGACTGCTGTCATTTCTAAGCCACTCGTCCGACAGCTGTTAAACTTATTCCAGTGACAGCTCATTATATTGTTTACAAGTGTACAAAAGCATTTTGGTGAGAAATTTCCAGAAAAAAAGTTATTCGTGATGGAATTCAAGCGTGATAGTGTGATTTCTTAATATTTGGCCGGAATACCACAAGTGGCTATCGTCAGAGCACTCCAGCATTTAAATGTGAATAAATCTTTTGTGTATCGGAAGTGAAGAACAATGGTTCGAAAAGTAAAGAAGCGACTTTATCGAAACCCGCGTCGCAGTGGCATATGGCTCATGAGCTAAATATATCGCAATATTCCATTCAGTAAATATTGAAAAATGAGCTCGAGGTAAAACCATTGAATAAGATGCTAATAAGATGCTTCGCTTGGCCGAAAGTGGTGAACTGCCGAATTTGATTTTCTTCAAAAAGAAAATATTCGTTGTCCAGCAGGTTGTAAACAAACAATATGATCGTGTTTACTTGCCAAAGAGGTCAGCTGAATATGTGCACCTTCGGTTGGCCACCAGAACTCAAGCGCCGGCAATGGTGATGGTGTGGGCCGCCATAGCAGCCGTTGGTCGCTCTCCGCTCGTATTAATCGACCGTTGCATCAGAATAATTGCCGAATATTATCTTGAAAATATTCTGGAGGGTGTATTAAGCCTTGGGCACGCAAATATTTTGGCCGCAGACCTTGGACATTCCAACAGAACTCAGCACCATCGCACACAGAACGCGTCACCCAAGAATCGTTACAAAATGAGGTTCCTCGCTTCAGTTATAGCGCACAATGACCACCAAAATCTCTGGATACCAATCCGTTGGACCATTGTGTCTGGAGTATTTTGGAAAGCAAGGTTGGCACTAAACAATACCAGAGTGTCGATCACCTCAAGCATGCGCTTCGCCGGGTCGTTGGCCGTTTGAAGGCCATAATTCGTGCCACAGGTGACCAATTCGAACAAATCTAAACTTTTTCTAAAATTTGATCTTAATTTTGCCTTCATTCAATAAAATTTAGAAAAAAAATTTTGGCGTTTGACTTTGTTGCAGTTTTTTTTATCTCACCCTAATATGGTACCCCAACGCATAGTGTTCTAAGGTGAAAAAAAAATATTGCAAAATGTAAAATTCAATATTGTTAGACAAATTTAAAATCCCAAGCAATAAAAAATATGACAAACAAGTAAGCAAAGGCTACAGTCGAGCGGGGGCCGACCGTTGAATACCCTACAACACTATAATAAACGATACAGTTTATATAGGCGAGATACTCGAAAGAATTCCACAAGATATTGTGACAAATAATAAAAGGAAACCATCAGGTTTCGTTCTCTAATTTTCGAATAATATCAAATTTTTCAACTAATTTTCAATTTTTTGGTAGATGTTGCACATGTTGGTCTTCCTAGATCTGGAACCAATATTTCCCAAAGACCTATAATCTCTCAGAAGTGGCAAAAGATCAACATTTATTATTGGTTTTTATCTGAAACGCATCTATATGAAATACAGACATTTGACTATATTCTTGAACGAAATCAGCGTTAACGAAATAGTCAGAAGTGCGTCTTTCCTGTATTTGTGAATTCTCCGAAAAGTCACTGGAATGGACATTTTCGTATTTTGTCTATAAAAGTTGGCAAGCTCCTTCACACACTGAATATTTTTGGATGGCCATCCAAAACTGCTTGGCTTTTGCAATGGCCGGTAACCCCAATTCAAATGTGCGTGAGGATCGGGCGATAATTACGACCTGCTGACAATTTTGCAGTTTTGTTGGTCCATTTCAACCGCTAAATATATGGCGGTCATCTCCAAAAAGAGTAGGCTTCTATTCTGATCCTCATTTTATCCCCATGAAAAATTTCGTAAGGATCGGGCCATAAATACGATCTGTATATGATATCCTAACAACTTAGTTTTGTTAGCTGTAGAAATATTACCAAATGTTTAATTCAAAATGAAAATATGCCAAAAATATGACAAAATTGAAAAAAATATGAGAAAATTTTACAAAATCAATATTTTCATCTTTAGAGAGATATTTTTATGCGATTTTTTAGACGTTTTTTCTTTCCTGCCAAGAGGCCATTCTGAATTAATGAGAACTGTCGAAATCGGTTCAGCCGTTCTCGACATATAAGAGATTTTTCAAGCATATCTTCTTTGATAAACATATATATCGCACATATTTTGCTATATATCCGATTTGTTGGATGTTAACATCAATGTAAAGATCCGAAGTAACCTTGTCATGGCTTTGTGATTTCGCCGGGATTTGAAATTTTCGCGGTTTAATGAAAAATTTTGAATTTTTTCAACAAAAAAGATATGGTCTATTTTACCCGCTAAATATTGTCCGATGACCACCCAAATTGGTAGGCTTCTCTTCTTCCCCGCCCTAAACTCTAGCTACATGCGAAATTCCGCGTCGATTGGTCTATAATTGCGACCTGTATAGCTACTGCAAAATCCGACATTTTTTCAGCATTTGGTCCATTTCAACCCCTAAACATTTGGCGATCATCTCCAAAAGAAATAGGGTTCTATTCTGACCTTAACCCCACCTACATTTTAAATTTCGTGAAGATCGGGCCATAATTGCGACCTGTAGAGTGATTACAAATTAACATGGACAGACGGACAGACGGACGGACGGACATACGTAGCTAGATCGACTCAGCTCGGCGAGCTAGGAAGATCCATATATACTTTCCTATTTGGGAAACCAATATTTCGAGGTGTTACATAAATTCTGGCCCAATCAAACTTATAATACCCCCAACACATAGTGTTGTAGGGTATAAAAAAATATAGGAATATTGGAATAAAATATTCATATTTTTAATAGCTTCGTTTTATGCGATTTTTCCAGATGTTATTTTTTCAGTTAAAAGACCATTCTGGATTGCCGAGAATTATAAAAATGCGCCCAGCCGCTCATGAGTTATAAGCGGTCTATCTTTGATAACGGCCAAAGGTGACTTTTTCGTGTGTTTGTGATTTCGCTAGAAAATTAAAATATTCTCGGGTAATGGAAAATTCTTAGACCGTAAAAGTAACGGTCTGTTGCACAAGCTAAATATTATTCGATTACCATCCAAATTGGTACGCTTCTGTCCACCGCTAAACCCTAGCCTTTAGAAAAGTTTTTCTCTTTTTGGTCCATTTCAACCACAAAATATATTGCGATCTTCTCCAAAAACTATAGGCTTATATTCTGAACTTACACCCACCCCCACCTAATGAGGATCAGGTCATAATTGCTACCTCTGGCATGATTACAATTTAACATGGACACACGGACGAACAGAAACACATATGTAAATCGACTCAACTCAGCGATATAGGAAGATCCATATATACCATTCTACATGCGGGACCAATATATCGAGGTGTTACACAATTATTGGCCCAATCAAACTTATAATACCCACAAGACATACACTGAGGGAAAAATCCCGTTGCGAAATCAAGCACGTATGTTGTCATTTTCGCAACGACCCGTTGTTATATTTTTCAACAACGGCTGTTGGTGAATTGTGCACGAACGTGCTCAAATTGACACCGAGACGTGGTCAACTTTCGGTACCAACAACAGCCGTGCTTAATTTGTCCACCGATGTGCTCAAAATGACAACTTTGCGTTTTTAATATTGGTAATTGCAGCCGATTACACACGAGTAAAAAATGACAACGGTGGTGCATGATTCACACACTGTCGTTGTCAATATGACACCGGTCGTGTATGAATTATGCACCACCACCTGCATAATGATGCACCACCGTTGTTACTTTGTACACCGACGTGCATGAATCGTACACGATCGTTGCCATTTTAGCAACTACCGTGTATGAATCATGCACCACCGTTGTCATTTTTTTTACTCGTGTGCAATCGGCTGCATATTTACCATTTTTTCCGTGTTATTGAAAGAGAAAGGACGCATTGTGCAAAAAATTTATTGAAAATGAATAATAATTCGCAAGATCCTCAAAATATCATTGGTGAGTTGTTAGAAATCGATGGCAATATTGTTGTGGTTCGCGATACAAACCATTGCAGCAGTCAAGATGCGGAAAACAATGAGGACGATTATATGTTAAGGGAGTTCTTAAAAGGAATAAATATGGAGTCGCTTTTTGAACAATTAAAAGGTAAGTAAATAAAAATGAATTTTTCAGTTAATCAGTGTAATTAACAAAGAATTTTCTTTTTTGTTCTTTTAGCATCACATGTAACATTTCGCAGTTTGCAGTACTTGAAAAAAGAAGATTTAAAGGAAGCAGTGCCACCATTGGGACTGCGAGTTGAATTCAGAGAAAAGCTCTTTGCTTGGAAAAAACGAAAGGTACGTATTATTTGTTTTACAGTGTTGAACTCAGTATTAATATTGTCATAACAATAGCTCGGGATTGATGACGAAACTATGTCAGTTCCATCTAAAATAGGTGAATGGTGGAAACGCAACGAGACACCTGCAAGTACTCCTGGTACTCCCGACACTACAGGTTCGAACTGCTCAAAAGCCAAAGGAATTTTGTCAGAGGTAAGGTAAGAGTAATATTTGTGTAAGCATAGTTAATGTAGTTTTTTTATTTAATATAGGATCTAACGGAATTGTTAACACATACCTCGAAGGGGAAACTGGCGCTTGAATGTAGTAGCGTTAATAAGAAATTAAGTGACGAGCAAAGAGATGATATAATTAATATAATTATTGAAGATATTTTAACCAACAATGTTACTCTTTACACTCAAGACTATATGCGCATATTGGATGAAATTTGTTCCGTTTTTCCTCTTGAAAACGAAATGAGGGTAAGATTAACAATATAAACAACGTATCTGATTATGTAGTTTCTTAACTTATAATATGTCTTTATTTTTAGGATTATTATTACATTTCAAGAAAAGGAAAGAACAACGCAAGCGGAAAACTTTATGCCAAGTATAGAAACAAGAAGTCCAAAAGAATAAAGCTTTTGATTTCCGAGCCTAGCACAAGCAAAGCAGCAACTCACACATCTCCTAATTTTTGTAACAAAGATGTTCCCGAAATTGATGAATCAGTTGAAAATTCATTGAAAGCTTCCTTACTAAGAGAATGTAATGATTGGGGATCGATCTGCGAAAAATGGAAAAGATCTTTTAACATACGGCAAAGAGATATAAAAAATTTAAGTAGCCATACATTTCTCCTTGAATGGACGAAGTTGTCCGATGCAAGAGCTTCAGAATTGGTAAGTAGCCATGAGCTATTTATTTGTATATGGATACTAATGTTTCGTTTTAGGTCAACATTGATTTCGATATTATGTATCCACAGAAAGGCAATCTTCTACTTTCTAAATGGGACCAATTTAAGAAAAAAATTTACAATTATTATGGGAAAAATATTCATAACGAACATTGCAAACAACTCTTCGCAAATGTTTTGACGGCAAGCAGCATAGGTAAATTTTAATTCCTGATTTATCATAAACATTAAAAGTAATATTTATTTTATATTTCGGTTGCAGATGCTCAAGATTATATATACGCAATACAGGATACAATTTTTTTAATACCAATTTTAGATTTTATTACTTACCCATTTCACTTATATCCTATGAATAATGGAAAAGTTTATTTCAGATTTAAGTTAATTTAATTTGTTTCTATACATTGAATATATGTAATTCGAATTGTTTTGTTAAATCAAATATGTATTTATATTGAATTTATGTAATTGGTTTCGTTAAATAAAATACTTTTCAAAAAATTTCGTTTCTTCTACTAAGGGTATAAAATGGAAAAGGAACGGATATCAAAAAATGACCACCATTGATTTCAATCTGACAACGGGCGTTGACAATCCGACAACGGAGCGTTGACAATCTGACAACGAAGCGTTGACGATCTGACAACGAAGCGTTGACAATCTGACAACGGGGCGTGCTCGAAATGACCACGTATGTGCTCATTTCATGCACATCTGTTGTTGAAATCGTTGCCAAAATCTCGGTGTCAAAATGACAACGGCGTGCTCATTTTGACACCAAACGTGGTTGATACACTATCATACACGGATGTGGTCATTTCATACACGGATGTTGTCATTTTTTCTCTGGGTGTAGGGTTGTATGGTATAATTGAAAGTGAATAGATATATGTATTATTACAGCTGCAATTCTGACACAAATTTCCGTTCCAACAACCCCCACCTTTAAGCTGAGTACCACCAATAACATTCAACCTTATTAAATTTCCCTAAAACCACTTCCTAAATCTCGTTGAACTCCAATTGTTAATATTTACTTGTTCAATTATTTATAGATACATTTTCCAGCTAAACGAAATTTAAGTGAACATTATTTTGTTGTTGTTGCTGCCGCTGCCGTGTAACTAAATTAACAGCGAAAAATCACAGTTTGTGTTTATCTTCAATTAAAAATGCAATCACGCCAAAATAAACATTGAAGTCTCTTAAATTTATGATGAGGATACATGGGGTCTGTGTGTTCCCATTTTTTGTGTATTTCCGCATTCCCTTCTAGCGATATTCAAATAAGCGTTTGGCAACAGTCATAGTTGGAATTGTAAGAAATACATAAGAAAGTTATAACAACGAAATAATGGAGGAGAAATGGAGAGCAAAAAAAAAAAACAAAGAAAACAAACTCGCAACTTACCAAAATTGTTTCGCTTTGTATTATCCACCAGAGGAGTCTATACCGGAAGCATGAATCTATAATTGAATAAAAGGAAGAATGAAAATGATTGTTCCTTTTCGGTAAGGGGGGGGGACATAATTTAATAATAATTATTTAAGGTTCGACATGTAATAAGAGAGGAGCTATAGAAAAAATGTCGCTTGGGTGTTTTAAATTACGAACGATATAACAATACCTGTATGGGTGTATTAAGGAACTTAAGTCAAAACAGGCATATAAGACGGTAGAATGTATTAGTATGTTTGCAAATAGATGTAAAACTTTATTCTAAGGTCATTATATATCATATATGTATATGTATGTAATACATGCATAGTAAACATATAATATAATGCTATGATTTGTATAAAAATCTACAAGTTTTGGGGAAATTCAACAAATTTTTTGACTAGAAATTGTATAATATCATCGGACTCTCCGGTATTTGCCAGGAATTACTTAACACATATTATTACCAAATCCATTTTCCTCCACAGAAAGACTTAATATATACTCTTAAAAATGAGTAATATTAAGAAACCAGCGATTTTTGAAAAAAATATTGCACATTGTGAAATATTACAAGAACTTCAAGTTATGCAATGAATGAACAAAGTCAGAAGTCCCGTTTCCATTTGCAGAGATTCATGATTTGTATACCCTCCATAGTGTGGAAGGTATATTAAGTTCGTCATTCCATTTGCAACTCATCTAAATAATCATTTTAGACACGACAACGTAAATATATTCTTGATCAGCATAAAATTCTAAAACGATTTAGCCCTGTCCGTTCGTCCGTTCGTCAGTATGTCCGTCTGCCCCTCTGTTGTAATCACGCTTGAGACCAAACGAATAAAGATAGGAGCTAACATATTGCACAGGTCAGTTTTTTGTCTACAGGCAGGTCAAGTTCGAAGATGGGTTATATCGGTCCACGATATCGTACAGCCCCCACACAACCGTACCCCTCGATATTCGGTATTTTAATGATTTTGTTCACATTTTTCAATAAAATTGTCTGAACACAAACACAAGGAGTTCCCTTTGTTTACTTTAACCTCTGGAAGAGAATTGTTTATATAGATCCACGATATCGTGTAGGTCCAATACAACGGCACCCATCGATATTCGGTATTTTAATGATTTTGTTCACATTTTTCAATGAAATTGTCTGAAAACAAACACAAGGAGTTCCCTTTGTTTACTTTACCCTCTGGAAGAGAATTATCTATATAGGCCCACGATATCGTATAGCACCCATAAAACGGTACCCCCGATATTCGGTATTTTGATGATTTTATTCACATTTTTCAATGAAATTTTCTGAAAATCCACACAAAGAGTTTCTTGTGAGTACTTTATCCCCTGGAAGAGAATTATCTATATCGGTCCACGATACCGTATAGACCCCATATAACGGTACAGCCCGATGTTCGGTATTGGTATGATTTTAGCCACACTTTCCAATGGAATTGTCTTAAGTCCACAAAAGGAGTTTCTTGTGAGTACTTGAGAGAATTATCTATTATCTTATCCACGATACCATATAGCCCCCCTAAAACGGTACCACCCAACATTCGGCATATTGGTGATTTTAGCCACATTTTTCAACGGAATTATCTGAAAATCCACACAAGGAGTTACTTGTGAGTACTTTACGCCCTGAAAGAGAATTGTCCACGATATCGTATATCCCCCATATAACGGTACCAACCCGATATTCGGCATTTTGATGATTTTAGCTACATTTTTCAATAGAATTGTCTGAAAATTCTCACAAGATGTTCCTTGTGAGTATTTTATCCCCTGGAAGAGAATTATCTATATATAGGCCCACAATATCGTATAGCCCCCATATGACAGAACCCCCGATATTCTGTATTTCGATGATTTTAGCTATATTTTCCAATGGAATTGTCTTAAAGTCCACAAAAAGAGTTCCTTGTGAATGCATTACCTTCTGGAAGATAATTGTCTACATAGGTCCACGATATTGTACATCACCAATAGAACGGTACCCCCCGATATTCGGTATTTTGATTAATTTGGCCACACTTTCCAATGGAATTGTTTTAAAATCCACAAAAGGAGTTCCCTGTGATTGCATTAGAGAATTATCTATATAGGTTCACGATATCACATATCACCTACACAACGGTTCCTCCCGAAATTCGGTATTTTGATGATTTTTGAAACGTTCTTCACCAGAATTGTTTCAAATTTCGTATATAAAGTTCGGAATAGTTACTACAGCCTATTACTTAAATTACTTATGCAGGACCACGTCTTCGTATAGCCATATAACGGTTTTCAATTGAAATTCATTTTTTTTTTTGTTGAAAATTTTGAAGTTTCTTCCAAATGGCCAGGAAGGCCGGGCCGAACTTAGCTGCTTTTATATTTGTTAAGAAATTTTAGAGATTTTTATAACTTTACTCAAGAACATGGTGGTCATAGAATTGTTGATAGTGAAAAACAACTTATTTTAAGAATTTTCTGGCGAAAAATCAGAAGCTTGAGTTTTACATTATTTTCTTTAATACTTTGAAGTTATAACTTATACTTCGTGCCACTTTTTATAGTGTACGCGTGCATTACTGCCAACTTGTTCGGTGAAACAATTTCATATGATGGAAATATCCACTTCCTAATTTTTATTTTAATTTTTATAGCCTACAACACTATGTGGATGGATCTTCCTAGCTCGCCGAGCTGAGTCGATCTAGCTATGTATGTCCGTCCGTCCGTCTGTCCATGTTAATATGTAATCACGCTACAGGCCCCCAATTATGGCCCGCAATTTTGGCCCGATCCTTACGAAATTTTGCACGAAGGTGGGGTTAGGGTCAGAATAGAAGCCTATTTCTTTTGGAGATGATCGCCAAATGTTTAGGGATTGAAATGGACCAAATACTGAAAAAATGTCGGATTTTGCAGTAGCTATACAGGTCGTAATTATAGACCAATCGACGTGGAATTTCGCATGTAGCTAGAGTTAAGGGCGGGGAAGAAGCCTACCAATTTGGGTGGTCATCGGATAATATTTAGCGGGTGAAATATATCATATCTTTTGTGTTGAAAAAATTCAAAATTTTTCATTAAACCGCGAATATTTTAAATCCCGGCGAAATCACAAAGCCATGACAAGGTTACTTCTGATCTTTACATTGATGTTAACATTCAACAAATCGGATATATAGTGCGATATAATGTTTATCAAAGAAGATATGTTTGAAAAATCTCTTATATGTCGAGAACGGCTGAACTGATTTCGACAGTTCTCATTAATTCAGAATGGCCTCTTGGCAGGAAAGAAAAAACGTCTAATAAAATCGCATAAAAATATCTCTCTACAGATGAAAATATTGATTTTGTAAAATTTTCTCATATTTTTTCAATTTTTGTCATATTTTTGGCATATTTTCATTTTGAATTAAACATTTGGTAATATTTCTACAGCTAACAGAACTATGTAGTTAGGATATCATATACAGATCGCATTTATGGCCCGATGCTTACGAAATTTTGCATGGAGATAAGATGAGGGTCAGAATAGAAGCCTACTCTTTTTGGAGATGATCGCCATATATTTAGGGGTTGAAATGGACCAAAAAACTGCAAAATTGTCTGCAGGTCGTAATTATCGCCCGATACTCACGCACATTTGAATGGGGGTTACCGGACATTGCAAAAGCCAAGCAGTTTTGGATGGCCATCCAAAAATATTCAATGTGCGA